TGTTTTTGAGTTTTTTCCTGTAATTGAGTTCTAGTTTTATACCATGTTATCAGATCTTGATATGATTTGAATCTTCTAAAATTTACTGAGACTTGTTTTGTATCCTAACATTTGGTCTATTCTGGAAAATGTTCTAAGTGTACTTGAGAAAAATACATATTCTGCTGCTTTTGGGTGAAATGTCCTAAAAAATACCTATTAAGCCCACCTGCTCTATGTGTCATTTAAGGCCACTGTTTCCTTGTTGATTTTCTGTCTGGATGATAGATCCATTGATGTCGTTGGTGTGTTCAAGTCCTCTACTATGACTATAATACTACTCATCTCTGCCTTTATGCCCATCATTATTCACTATATATATTTAGGTGCTTCTATATGAGTTATATCGTCTGGTTGTATTGATCCCTTCATCATTATGAAATGCCCTTTTTTTTGTCTCTTGTTACAGCCTTTATTTTAAAGTCTATTTTGTCTGATATATGTATTGGTACCCTAACTTTTTTTGGTTTCCATTTGCATGAACTATCATTTTCCATTCCTTTACTTTCAGTCTGTGTGTTTCTTTTTATCTGAAGTGGATCTCTTGTAGGCAGCATATGTATGGGTCTTGTGTTGTTGCTTTTTTTTAATCCATTCAGCCACCATGTGTATTTTGATTGGAGCATTTAGGTCATTTACATTTAAAGTGATTATTGGTAGGTATGTAGTTATTACTATATTATGTTTTCTTTTGTGTATTTCTTCTCTGTTCCTTTCTTATTCTCTTGTTCTTGTTTCTTGTATGTTGATGACTTTCTGTAGTGTTATGTTTAGATTCCTTTCATTTCTTGTATATCTCTTGTAGATTTTTGGTTTGTGGTTACCATCTGCTTCCTGTATACCAAGCTATGTTGATAGCAGTGTGTTTCAAGCTGTTGATCCATTAAGTTTGAACACATTCTGATGTCACTTCAATTTTTACTCAGCCCCTCTACGTTTGTTTTTGTCATTTTTTACTACTTTTGGTAATTATGCATAATTTCCTTCTTTTGCTTTTTAACCTTTGTACTAGCTTTTATAGTTAATTGGTCCACTACTTTTATTATGTGTTTGACTTTGTCAGTGAGAGTTCTTTTCTTTCCTATATTTTAATATTCATGTTTTTGATCTTTTCTTCTTGAATAAGCCCCTTTAACATTTCTTATAATACTAGTTTAGTTATTATGTGTACAACATGGTTCAGTGGTTGAGCATTGACCCATTATGTACCAGGAGGTCGCCAGTTCAATTCCTGGTCAGGGCACTTCCCCGGGTTGTGGGCTTGATCCCCAGGAGGGGTTGTGCAGGAAGGAACTGATCAATGTTGATGTTTCCCTCTCATTGATATTTCTATCTCTCTCCCCCTCTCCCTTCCTGTCTCTCTAAAGTTAATAAAAAATATTAAAAAAAATACTTGTTTAGTAGTAATGAACTACTTTAATTTTTTCTTGTATGGGAAAGTCTTTTATGTCTCTTTTTGATTCTAAATGATAATCTTGCTAGGTATAGTAATCTTGGTTGTAGGTCCTTGCTTTTCATCACCTTGAATATTTCTTGATAATCCCTTCTGGCTTGCAAAGTTTTTGTTGAGAAATCTTCTGACAGTCTTATGGGAGCTACCTCGTGCATCATTAAGTGCCTTCCTCTTGGTACTTTTAAGATTCTCTCTTTGTCTTTAACCTTTGGCATTTTAATTATGTGTTGGTATGGGCCTCTTTTGGGTTCATCTTGTCTGGGACTCTCTACATTTCATCTTGATCTTTCTCTTTCCTTGCACCTATATCTAATCCATCAAGTCCTGCCAATTCTGTCTTCTAAATATGTAGAATTAACCACTTCTCAAAAACTCATTACTTCTACTCTAGGCTAAGCTACTTTCATTTATACCATTGCAGTGACCTCATAGATTGGTATTCCTACACTCAGTAGCAATACCACAGTAGTATAGTAATCCTTAACAAACTTAAGTCATGACACGCATACATACACGCCCCACGCGCACGCATGCGTGCACGCTCACACACACACACTCAGAACCCTCCAAAAGCTTCCCATATCATTCAGAATGAAATCCAAGCTCCTAGGAAGGGATTACAAGGTCCACCTAAGCTCCCCCTGCCTGTTTCTACTTTCTCAAAATCCAACACTGTGCCTATGTCACTCAGCTGAAGCCACACTAACCACCTAGATCTGCGAAATCATTTGGTCTGGCCCTGCCAAGTCCTCGCCAAAGAGAAGCAGTTCTAGCCATCACATTAGTGGTGAGTTAAATGTTTGACCAAATATAGCAGGCTTTTAAGTTGATAATTTTGTATGGCCCATGAATGTTGTTATAAATATCCAAACGGCCCTTGGCAGAAAAAAGGTTCTCCACCCCTGACTAGGTGATCTTTTAATGTACTAAATGAATTTCTGCCTCTGTCTTTGTCTTCATTGCTCCTCCAGTCTGTAATTCTTTCCGCCAGATCTTTACATGAATCTTTCCTTCATTTGGAAGCCTTACCCTAACCACTTTATCTTTAATAATTATGCCCCTTCTTCACTGCTCTTTCCCATTCCCCGTTATTTTTCTTCATAGCCCTTATCCCAGATATTACATATGTGTGTGTGTATGTATGTATGTGCTTATCATCTGTCTCTTCCTTTAGAATTCAAGTTTTATAAGAGGAGGAACTTTGGTTAATTATCATGTGCCTGTTGTGTAGAATAGTACTTAGGACATAGTCAGTGCTTGAGAAATGTGTTGAGTAAGTAAATATATTATTACTCCCAATTTCAGATGTAGAAACTGAGTCTACCATAGCTGGCAGGTTTTCAGATGCCAAGTTTATTGCATTTTGTTCCTTAGCCACTTGTTTCTAGAACCTTATCTGATTACTTATTTGTCCACATCTGATTGTTCCTCTTCTGAATTCTGTGGCAATCTGTTACTCATATTTACAACATTTTGTCTTGTGCTCCTGATACATACCGTTTTTTCTTCTTGTCCTCTTCTAGTGCATTATGCTTTAAAAATTGAGAGAATGACAAATTATTTCTTCCTGTATCTCATAGTATTTGAGTTTTAAAGTTAGACTTGATTTTCTTTAAGCTATACAGCTTTTTCTTTTAAAACTAATACAAAACTCAGGGCTTAAGATTTTCTTAAAATTTTTTTCTAGTAATATGAAAACTAAATTTTTGTAACAATAGATTTACTTCATTGAGTATTTTCAGGATGCGAGCTCTCTCATAACAGTACTGGTATCCTGTCTGCATTTTGTAAAAAGTACTTGTGTATGATTGAAAACAGAAATGTTTTCAAGTTTTTGATAAGTATTTTCCTTTCTGTAGTGGATTTACTTATTTGGGAAAACCTAATTTCCTACTTTACTGTTCTTCTGACTATCCTTTTTCTTTTTAACTTCTCCTAAGAAAGGGGGTGGGCATTATTGATTCAGGGATAGGGAGGACATCATGTGATGAAGGATGGTTTTCATTTTTCTGTGAAGTAGGTTATAGTCACCAAGAATTGTGAACATTGTAGTTAATGAGAATCTCTCCCTTTTCCGTGTGAACAGTGAGATAAATGAGACTTGCTTTTAAGTGTAAGCTACTACCCAGAAAGCTGTGAAGAAGGCTGGTGATAGCAGATGGTATCCATACACAGTTTGATTTGTTTAGAAACCTACATAAAGAGCAGCATGTGTTTTGTTTTGTTTTCCCTTTAATTACTCAGAGCCAGGGAGATCAGTTTTCAAATAAAGCATACTGATACAGCCAGGAGAAAAACTTACAAAAGAAGAAAACAGACAACTGCATTTTTAACTGCATAACTTCAATTCCATATTTATTATGTTCTTTGTAAAAGGCTCTGTACTAGGCATTGTAAGTGATGCAAAGAAGATTAAGTATTACAAAATAAATTCCATTCAGTAAACATGTCATTAGTGCCTTTTGGCACTAAAGTGCTGGGAATATAGAAATAAAGGCAGTTCCTAGCCTGAAGGAGCTTACACTATAGCGGGGGGAACAAACAAAATGGAAAGATTGTTTCACACAAAGGTACTATGATATATTTACATCAAGATGCTATAGAAGCTCTGAAGAAAGGCTACCTAATCTAACCTGGGAGGATAGTGAGGAACATAGTGAGGAAAGGCTTCTGGGAGGAGGTAAAACCGTAGTTTATGGCCCTAGCTGTCTTAAAGGATGAGTACCAGCCAGGTAAAAATGAGGAGTAGGAAGGGATCAGGGCAGGAGGAAGAGCATGAGCAAACGCTCAGAGGCAAGAAATATGGTGGTTTGGGAGAGATCCAAGTACTGCTGATAGAGCCAAAGGTAACATCTGTGGCAGGAGATGAGATGATGGTGCCAGATTATGGTGGAGTTTGGGAGTTTATCCTCTGTTCATATTTCTTCAAGTGTGACCTATAGATTCTCTGCAACAGCATCTCTTAGAATATTTGCAGAAATGCAGGTCTAAACCCACTCCAATTCATGGAAAATAACCCAAAAGAGCTGTTTTTTGCTCAGAATTGGGACTTCCTTTGTAAAGCTAATGATGAATGCTTTGTATTTAAAAAATATTTTTTTAAATGATATATTTTGTCAGGTTTACACAAACACAGTATTTTATGAGTCTGTGTCTTACATTGGTGTTTTGGGTGGTTCCCAAAGGAGTGACTAATAAAAATAAATATAAAGAGCATGTATATTGTATATTGGGGTCAATAATAGAGGCAGAAAATTCAAAACAAAAGTAATTTGAAAGCTTAATTTGCAACTATATCTTTAAAGATATATTTTTCTAATGCCAACTCAGGGTAAGAATTCTCTGAGACCTATATCACTCAGTGTTCAGCCTCGTGGTGGTGGTGGTGGTGTGTGTGTGTGTGTGTAAAATTTCAGAGAAAGCAAGGAATATGGAAATGGAAAATGTTGCAAACCAATAGTGGGAACTTACGATGTATTTATAAATGTATATTTCTTTTACTGTACAGGAATTAGAAAATAAAAGACGACTACAAAAACAAGCTGCAACTACCCAGAGTGCTACAGAGGTTCGCTTGAATAGAGCTCTAGAAGAAGCAGAAAAGTATAAATTAGAGCTAAGTAAATTAAGGCAAAATAACAAGGTATGGAAAAATTGAATGGTTTTGATAGTGATCACCTTTGGTAACTTCTTTTATGCAAGAGTCAAAACTAAATAGTTTTTAAATTATAATTCTTGTTGTAATGGTAAAAATTTCTCTTTTCAGAAGAAATACATTCAGTATCAGTATGTACATTTTCAGTAGGTAGGATTATATTGCTTGGGCAGTTGCTATAATTGGGTGGTAGTGCAACTCTTTGAAGGATTCATTCAGTTTTTTCATCCAACGTATCTTTATTTTGTGCCCATATTATATGCCAGACACTTTTCTAATCTTGGGATAAATGAAGTCTTTTTAAAAAAATCTTGTTTGTTTTATCCTTTTTGGCCTCAATTTTCTAATATATAATACAAGAGGTTATTTTACAGGTCATTGGTTCACCTGGAGGGCTTGTTAAATATAGATTGCAGGGCCCCACCCCCAGAGTTTCTGCTTCAGTAGGTCTGGGGTAAGGCCTAGAGGGCAGTTTTAACAAGCTCCCAGATGATGGCTGATGCCACTGGTTCTGAGATAACATTTTGATAACCATTGTGAGAATCACTGTAGTATTCCTAGTATCTAGCAAATGACTGACAGAATTACCACTCAATTCCTAAAATATCTGTTCAAATATCGATGTGTGTGAAAACATTTTATACATTATAAATATTGGCTATTAGTTTTAGGTTCTGTGTCAAGCTGAAAGTGATGCTCCATTGGAATTTCCCCCTTAGCACCATATTTAATAATTTAACAATGACTTGGATGATGAAATTAGGAGCCACCCTTGTTACGTAAAACAGTACATTTTGGATTAAATTAGCACAACAGGACATTGAACAAAACTGATCTTGATAAGCCCTCCGACAAGTTTAACAGTGACAAATATGTTGCAGTGGCTGTAGCATTTTAAGATATCTTCTGAGATAGTTTATACTGTATGGTATTACTATGTTCATATTTAAGAGCCATCAATGATGGCATGATGATGGAGATTTATTAATAGAAGTCATTAAGTGAACAAGTTAGGAAGTCTTTACAAACTTGCCAGTCATTAGCATGTTATTACAGTATTATTTTTAATTTGGTACATTCTAAAGGGAGTCTGAAGAAAATGAAGTGGAATAACCAATTATGTCAGGATTTGCTAATTCTGATTGTAGATTTGATCTCTATTTTAGCACACACATTAGAGAAGTAGAAAGTAAAACTTGTGTCCATGACGACAGATGAGTCTCCTAATTCTAGCCAGACATTTTGCAAATTCAAGTAGTAACTCCATATGTGAACAACTCAGTATAAAACCATCAACTTTATGTAAACAGCTTCAATGTGTTCAAGACAAACTTCCCACCCCAGGACTGCATTATGGATGATCGATTTAAACAAAGTGGGATGACGTTTTGTGTATATATTTCTATTTACTATCAAGTTTTCTTCTAGGCGTTTCATGGGTTTTGGTCTTAGATTTAAGTCTTTAATCCATTTTGAGTTCATGTTTGTGGGTGTATAAGATAGGAGCCTAGTGTCATTCTTTTACATGTGAATATCCAATTTTTCTAGTACCATTTATTGAAGGGACTCTTTTCCCATTGTGTATTCTTGGCTCCCTTCTCAAATATTAGTTGACCATGTATGCATGGGAAGAATTAATATTGTTAAAATGTCCATACTACCAAAGCCATCTATCGATTCAATGCAAATCTCTATCAAGATTCCAATGGCATTTTTTACAGATGTAGGAAAATTTATAGGGAATTACAAAAGATACCAAGGAGACAAAGCAATCCTGTTGGTGTTCATAGCATTCTCTTACAGTCCTTTGTATTTCTAGGGTATCAGCTGTAATGCCCTTCTTGTATTTCTGATATTAGTTATTTGAGCCTTCTCTTTTGTCTTAGTCTAGGTAAAGGTTTGTCAGTTTTGTTGATTTTTCTCAAAGAACCAATTCTTGATATCATTGATTTTTCTACACAGTTTCTCTATTATGTATTCATTAACTCTGCTCTAATGTTTATTATTTCCTGTGTTCAACTAACTTTGGGTTTAGTTTTTTCTAGTTATATAAGATCTTTCTTCCTTTTTACTGTAAGCATTTACAGCTATAAATTTCCCTCCCTAGAACTTTTTCACTGTATCCTATAAGTTTTGGTATGTTGTATTTTCATTATAATTTTCCTGAAGATATTTTGTAAATTCCCTTGGTTTCTTTGACCCATTGGTTTAAGAGTATGTTGTTTAATTCCACATATTTGTGAATTTTAGTTTTCCTTCTGCTATTGATTCTATTTCATTATACTATGAACAGGAAAGATACTCTGTATAATTTCAATTTTTTTAAATTTACTAAGATTTGTTTAGTGGCCTAATATAATTGGAGAATGTTCTGAAGATGTCTATTAGGTCTAGGTGGTATATAGTGTTCAGTTACTGTTCCCTTACTCTGATTGTTCTATCCATTATTGAAAGTTGGGTATTGAAGTCTATTATTACAGAGCTGTTTCTCCTACCAGCTCTGTTGACATTTGCTTCATATACTTAGGAGCTCTGATGTATGTGCAGATATATTTATAATTGTTATAGCGCCCTAATGAATTAACCCTTTTATCATTATATAATCTCCTTTGTCTCATAACTGTTTTACTTAGTCTGTCTTGTTTGATACTATTAGAGCCACACATATTCTCATTTGGTTACTAGTTGCTTTGAATATCTTTATCATTTCATTTTCAATCTATGCATGTCCTTAGATTGAAAGTGAATTATAGACAGCATATAGTTGGTCCTGTTTTTTAAATCAATTCTAGTATATGGGGACTTTAATCCATTTATATTTCAAGTTATTACTAATAAGGAAGAACTTCTGTTGCCATTCCTTTTTTTCTGTCTTAAAGCTCTCTTTTAAATGTCTTCATTTCCTAAGCATCTTGGGCCTTAGATGATGTATTTTATTGCTCTGCCTATAGTCTCTTGGCCCTAGGCACCCATGGTTCTGCAGACACCCTGCAGCCCTCATGTCCAGTAGTGCCCACCACAGCTTTCAGCAGCCTCCAACCTGATATTCAAACTATGCCACAATTCCATCAAGTGAGACAGAAAACAGTCCCTCAGGGCAGCCCCATATGTCAAAACATCACAACCAAGTTCTACTCTTTTCTTTCCATCCCAAGGGAGGAGCTGGGAATTGAGAGGCTTCTTTCACTGTGCCCAGGAGGGTGAGCATAAATGCAATGAAATTTCCTAGTATTTTTTTTAAATTTGTACAATAAAGATAACACAGATGTCCCCTCCCCCCCCATTGACCTCCTCTACCCCACATCCACCCCACTCCCAGGCCTTCCCCATAATAATGTCTGTGTCCATGGGTTATGCTTGTAGACATGTAAGTTCTTTGATTAACCTCTCCTCTCCCCTCCTCCAACCCCGCCTTCCCTCTGAGATCCCTCAGTCTGTTCCATGCTTCTATGTCTCTGGATCTATTTTGTTCATTACATTCCACATATGAGTGAGAGCATGTGGTACTTGTCTTTCTCTGACTGGCTTATTTCACTAAGCATAATACTCTCCAGTTCCCTCCATGCTGTCCCAAAGGATAAGAGATCCTTTTTAACAGCTGCATAGTATTCCATGGTATAAATGTCCCACGGCTTTTTTATCCACTCATCTACTGATGTGCACCTGAGGTGCAGCTTTGGGGTGGAATGTTCTGTAAATATCCATTAAACCAGACAAAAAAAGGCTAAAGGAGTTTATCACCACCAAACCAGCATTGCAGGAAATGTTAAAGGAACTGCTATAATTAGAAGTAGAAATAGAGAGAAAGAGAAACATAGGCATAAAGAATTAAAATGGCAATAGGTAAGTATGAATAATAACCTTAAATGTAAACGGATTAAATGCTCCAATAAAGAGACATAGGGTGGCTGAATGGATAAGANGAATAAGAACCTTAAATGTAAACGGATTAAATGCTCCAATAAAGAGACATAGGGTGGCTGAATGGATAAGAAAACATGACTGAAATATAAGCTGTCTACTAGAGACCCACCTCAAAACAAAAGACTCACACAAGATGAGAGTGAAGGGATGGAAAAAGTTTTTCCATGCAAATGGAAATGGAAAAAAAAAGCTGGGGTAGCAATACTCATATTGGACAAAATAGACTTTAAAATGAAGACCATAATGAGAGACAAGAAAGGTCACTACATAATACTAAAGGGACTGATCCAAAAAGAGGATATAACCCTGATAAACATATATATACCCAGTATAGGAGCACCTAAATTTATTTAAAAAAAAAACACTTCTAGAGGACTTTAAGGGAGAGATCGACAGCAAGACAGTCCTAGTAGGGGACTTGAACACCCCACTGATTTCACTGGGTAGGTCTTCCAGACAAAAAATCAACAAGGAAGCAGTGACCCTAAATGACTCCCTAGATTAGATGGATTTAATTGACATTTACAGAACATTCCTAGTATTTTGAATGTGGTTCTTGCTTGGTTGCTGCTGCTGAATTGGCTTCTAGAGTGCTCACAATACTGCATTAATCTGTATATTGTATATTCAGTGTTTCCATGGGTGTTCCTTGGGGGAACAAGGGCCTGGAGCTTCCTACTTTGCCATCTTGTTGACATCACTCTCAATCATCTTTTAAAGAAGTTTTTTTAAGTCTAATATTTACTATTTTACCACGTTACTCTTTTTTGCCTAATGTCAGAGAAACTATCTACAATGTTAAGTGAGGACTTACTGTATAACATCTTCCAGTACTTAATAACTTCTGACCTGTCTTAAAGTTCACTGATCCTTTTCCCACATTGTCCACATTGTTTCAGAGCTCATCCATTTAATTTTTACCAAGATTACAAACTCGTTCTTCCTTATCATGGGCAGTGGCTGAATTCTCTAACTCAGCTCTTTCACCATAGCTGTTGCTTTTCATGGGTTCCTAGGACTCTCACCCTGCACATGGTATTTAGGTGTCTGCCAAAGATTTGAAGGGACTATACAGGCAGATTTTGAGGACTCCTCACCAATAAGACTGTTAGTTTTGGCTTGAGGGCTATCCCCTGTGGACACATGAACTGGAAAGTGCTCTCAATCAGTATGCTTCCATATCCCCTCCACTGTCTGCTTATTAAATGCTTTTAAAATTGTGTCCAGAGTTTATAGCTGCTACTGTCTGGAGAGTTGATTACTGGAATTAGAATAGAGTTATTTCAAAAACTTTTTTAAAAATGTGAGAGACTTGAACATCATTAAAAGTTATCAAAGTTACAGTAATTTAGTAATGCAAAGAAAACTTTATCAAAAATTTTATATTTCAGTAAAAAGTAATTTTTATTACTGATGTGATGATAGTTTTTATAAGTTTTTTCCTTTTTTCCTTTTGTAGGATATAGTAAGTGAAGAACACAAAAAAATTGAAGCATTAAAATCCGAAAACAGGAAGCTAGAAAAACAAAAAGGAGAATTAATGATAGGATTCAAGAAACAATTAAAATTAATTGATGTTTTAAAAAGACAGAAGGTGAGTCTATCCTAAAAAAAAAACCACCATAGATATTATTTGGCCACTCTACTAAAATATTTATTAGTATTTTTACTTTAGGTATGTTTGTCTTGACATGCTTAGGCACCAAATTTTATCTACATAAAATGTACTAAACATATTAAATATATGTAAGATTTATATAAATGTGTCATTCAAGGAAGTGGATATTTGCATGCAAGTAAATTAGTAATGTGGAAAATGGGACTGGTAAATACAGTATGGGTACTCCCTAACTAAAGAACATACCATTTAACAAGAATAAATTATTTTAGAGGATTGGTTTGCCTCTCGGAATCCTGAAGAGTGAAAATTTATTCCAAACCACTATTGTTTCCTTCTCTACATGAGTTAGCTGGTAGTGAGAAGATATGAATTCATGGTTCTGCCTCTTTTCCTTTTTGCAAAGGTTAGGTATTAAAATATTATTGTCTCTCAACGGTTGGTTGGTACAATACCATTGGACAAATAGGCTTCTATAGGCTGACCCTTGAATGTAATTACTGTTATAATTACATAGCATATTATACACACTTTTACACATTTCCTGTTGTGTGGTTTATTCTTAATACTAAATTAGACAACATTGATTTTTTTTTAAAAAACACAGATGCATATTGAAGCTGCCAAGATGCTGTCTTTCACTGAAGAGGAATTTATGAAGGCCCTTGACTGGGGAAATTCTTAATTCTAAATACTTTAGTCTCTCTAACCAACAGTGTGTGATGGATATACATTTTACTTAAGTTATAATGGTTGGAATTGATAATGAAATCAAAAGAATTCCCTGTTTGGGGGAATATAACATTGACATGTAATTATTAGAAAAGGGAAATATTTTATAAAATAAGTAAGAATTTAACTTTGATTCTGCTATCTTTCTTATGTTCTAATAGCCCTTTCTCAGCTGCACTTGAATGGAAATGACTTTACGTTCTGGAGATTTAGCTGTAGTTTATAAATGAGTTCATGAGAGAAATTCTGTTTTTAAATTCTTACTGACAAATTAGATACTTTGAAATTCCTCACCCTTTACAGTAGACAGAAAAAGATGCTTTAAAAAAGTCTTTTTTACATTAAAAATTAATGTTTAAAAACACATAAATATTAACATTGGGTTAGTTTGCTAAGGTTTCCATAAGTGCCAAAGACTTGATGGCTTAAACAGCAGAGACAGTCTCACAGTTCTGGAGGCGGGAATTCTGAGGTCAGTGGTTGGCTTCTTCTGAGGGCTGTCTGCTCCCCATGATGTCACATGCTCAGAAAAACATGCTTTAGACCCAATTAATTATAAGTGCTTATTTCCCTGGCCAAATCAGGCAAGTAAAGTTCCTAAACGCAAACATAGAAAGAGAACTGTAGCCTAAATAGGGATGCAGAAAAACCTCTGAACAGTAATAGTGTAGAAAAGTTAGTCTCCATATTTATGTACATGGAATATTGTAATGAGGTGGTGGTGTAGAACTTAGTCAAACTGTTTTTGTACTGAATTTGAAGACCTAACAACACGGGTGTACACTTTCACCACTCTTATTCAACCTAGTACTGGAAGTCCTAGACACAGCAATCAGACAAGAAGAAAACATAAAAGGCATCCAAATTGGAAAGGAGGAAACAAAACTGTCATTATTTGCAGATGACATGATATTATACATACAGAATCCTAAAGACTCCACCAAAAAACTACTAGATTTAATAAATGAATTCAGCAAGGTAGCAGTATACAAAATTAACACCCAGAAACTGGTGGAATTTTTATACACCAATAATGAACTCTCAGAAAGAGAAACTAAAAAACAATCCCATTTACTACTGAAACTTAAAAAGTAAGATACCTATGAATAAACTTAACTAAAGATGTAAAAGACCTTTACTCAGAAAACTACAGGACACTCAAAAAAATAGAGGAAGATATAAACAAATAGAAAAATATACCATGTTCATGGATTGGAAGAATTAACATCATTAAAATGTCCATATTACCCAAAGCAATCTATAAATTCAATGCAATGCAATCCATATTAAAATACCAACAGCATATTTCACAGATGTAGAAAAAAAAACTTCGAAAATTTATATGGAACCAAAAAACACCCTGAATAGCCACAGCAATCCTGAGAAAGAACAAAGTTGGAGGGATCACAATACCAGATATCAAGTTATACTACAAAGCCACTGTAATCAAAACAGCCTGGTACTGGCACAAGAACAGACATATAGATCAGTGGAACAAAACAGAGAACCCAGAAATTGACCCATGCCATTATGGTCAATTAATATTTGATAAAGGAGGCAAGAACATACAATGGAGTAAAGACAGTCTTTTCAATAAATGGCGTTGGAAAAATTGGACAGATACATGCAAAAAAATGAAACTAGACCAACTTACACCATACACAAAAGTAAATTAAAAATGGATAAAAGACTTAAATGTAAGACATGAAACCATAAAAATCCTGGAGGAAAACATAGGCAGAGACATCTCTCATAGCAATATGTTTGCTGATACATCTCCTAGGGCAAGAAAAACTAAGGAGAAAATAAACAAATGGGACTGCATCAAAATAAAAAGCTTCTGCACAGCAAAAGAAACCAACAAAACAAAAAGGGAGCCCACTATGGGAGAACATATTTGCCAATGACTCATCTGATAAAGGGTTAATATCCAAAATATATAAGGAACTTATACAACTTAACAAAAGGAAGACGAACAATCCAATTAAAGAAAGGGCAAAGGACCTTAATAGACACTTCTCCAAAGAGGACATACAAATGGCTAAGACACATATGAAAAAATGCTCAGCGTCATTAATCATCAGAGAGATGCAAATTAAAACCACAATGAGGTATCACTTCACACCTGTCAGAATGGCTGCCATCAACAAATCAACAAACTACAAGTGCTGGTGAGGGTGTGGAGAAAAGGGCATCCTAGTACACTGCTGGTGGGAATGCAGACTGGTGCAGCCACTATGGAAAGCAGTATGGAATTTCCTCAGAAGATTAAAAATTGACCTGCCATTTGATCCAGTGATCCCACTTCTAGGATTATATCTTAAGGAACCTGAAACAGCATTCACAAAGAACTTATGCACCCCTATGTTCATAGCAGCACAAACTGCAGTAGCTAAGATCTGGAAACAGCCCAAGTGCCCATCAGTAGATGAGTGGATAAAAAAACTGTGGCATAGTTACACCATGGAATACTATGCAACTGTAAAAAAGGACCTTTTATCCTTTGGCACAGCATGGAGGGACCTAGAAAGTATTATACTAAATGAAATAAGCCAGTCAGAGAAAGACAAGTACCACATGATCGCACTTATATGTGGAATATGATGAGCAAAATGAACTGATGAACAAAGTGGATCCAGAGACATAGAAGCTTGGAACAAACTGAGGGATCTTGGAGGAAGCTGTGCGTGGGGAGAGATTAATCAAGGAAACTATATGTTTATCAGCATGACACATGGACACAGACATTGGTTTGGGGAATGCCTGCGGGTGGGGTGGGTGTGGGGTGGAGGGGGTCTGAGGATAAAAGGGGGACATCTGTAATATTCTCAACAATAAAGATAAAGAAACAAAAACACACAAAAAGACAGTTTGACTAAAAGCAATTAATTTTGCAGTTAAAAGTATTCAGTAATTTTAATTTTTGTCAGAAAATAATTTTTTTCTTATAACCATTACAAATGATGAAATAGAGATGTTTTAGAAAATCCAAACAGACAAGATTCCTACTATCACTGAACTGTAAAACAACAGTTACACTGACATCTAGTGGTAACATACAAAAGAATCCAGGTTTTACCAAACCTTTATCACTTTCCTTCACAGCTTTCACTCCTCCTCTGATAGGCTTTCCGAAACTCTTCACCAAGCACCTCAATGTCATCCTCCTTTCTGAATACTCCCTACGAGAAAAAAATTTTGTGGGTTACTCTGAGTACCAGAATATTTCCCCAAGTGCTTGTAAGACTAGCAAATATAGACATGACATTTGCAAAGCTATTTCCAAGATAATAAAATCTATTTAATAGATTTATGGGAAAAAAGATTACTTTCTGAAAATTATGACTTGATATACAATACTGAATATTCTTACACTGACTTGACTTCCTGACTTATCGGTTCTGCTGTTGGAACTTGTCGTATAAAGTAGAAGATTCCTATGACAAGTACTACTGCTTGGATTGGCGGAATGGGAAGGAATTTAATCTGTACTCTGTGCTACCCTTGTCTTGAAACAGCCCTGCATGATTATGAGGGGTGAGGGTGAAGAGTTTGAGCTTTGCCAGATTTTATGCATGAAATTAGCTCTTGCTTCAGTTCTTTGACCAATCAGCAAACATTCAGTCTTGCAGGAAAGAATCCAGGTTTAGAGTTAAGCCCTTTGAGCAAGACTTTTAAAATTCTTGACACTTTTGTTTTCCCTTATATTAAGAGGCTCTTTAAAACAAAACTGAACTTAAATATTTTCTTATAATGAAAGGATGTAAAGAATAATTTAGGTCATTTGGGGCCATTAGGACCCAGAGGATAAAAAGTAATTTTAGGATATCAGGTTTATTTAGGCTCTCCCCATCTCCACAATTATTTCCCTACAGAAATATCTAAATCCCACGACTCTCCCAGAATTTATAGTCTATTTCACAGAATTTATCAATTCCATATGGCTTTTGTCATTAATACATCATTTTGTATTCATTAATCCTGTCTAAACAATTAGACTAAGGTCCTGTGGGCTGGCAATAATTACTCATGTTTCTTTCTCCTTCCTTAATCTGCACTGGACTAAATATAAAATATGCACTTGATTCTTCCAATTGACTAAAATGTCAAATGGCATAATTTCTATATTTGAAGGATGAAAATATTTACATGAGTCCAGATATTTATGTGGCCTGTGAAACTGTTTATTTTATAGTCACTGTATCTCAGATGTACATGAAAATTTCCTATCTTCTGGAAATTCTCAAGATTTTCCTGTTATTATCACAATTGCTTTATGGTAGTTTAGTTTTAGAACACCTACACTGAATGGTGAGAAAAGAATCTCTAAACAAATTCAGTTCATTTAGCTCATACTTTTAAAATGTGCCAAGACTAGCTCTCATTTTGGAGATGTTCAGTGAGTGGCCTAGGTCCCACTGCTGCTTGGTAACAGCAAGAAGTGTACGAAACCCAGGACCCCTGTAATCCTAATGCCACGGTTTTTTCCCCACCAAAAGATGTCATGAGGATTCCACTTTTGAGCTAAATCTCACTCACTTTAGGGAGATATCCTAGTAATTTTGTAGCATGTTCTTTGAGAAGTTTCAGTCTTTCTTCTTCAATAATTGCATTAATACATCCTTGTCTTCTTTGCTGCAACTGCCATTCTTCCAGTTCATGTTGCTGGAAATGCAAATAGAATTTTGTCACACAATACATTAATCTTAAGTAGTTGTCAAGCCCTGCCGGTGTGGCTCAGTGGTTGAGCACTGACCCATGAACCAAGATGTCACAGGATGGATTCCTGGTCAGGGCACATGCCGAGTAGGGGCCGTGCAGGAGGCAGCCGATCGATGTTTCTATCTTTCTATCCTCCATTCCTCTCTCTTTAAAATCAATAAAAACAAACAAAAAAAAGTTGTCAAAACCATTCTTGCAGTGAATTAGATAAAACTGATGAACTAACTTCAAAAGCTACTAGATGATGTACAGGGTGTAGCAAAAGGTTTACAGTTCATGTGAAAATGATACAATAATTAATACATAAGAATTGTTTTGTGTACTCACAACTGTAAACCTACGTTTGCCCCACTCTCTATATTGTATTATATATACATAGCTTTTACAGTAATTTCTTAAAAGTTACAAGAACAATACAGGGTGGAGCAAAAGTAGGTTTACAGTTGTTCGTATGGAAAAATGCAATACTTAATAAATACAAGAATAAACTGTTTCACATACTTACAACTGTAAACCTATGTTTGCCCTACCCTATAGTTATGACTGGGATTTTCGGAGGCAAGTACAGAGTTTTAGGACAATGTCTTCATTACCAAGGGAAAAAATGTTCAAAGAGGTAATTTCCTAATTCAATAACTATTTATTAAATCTTTACCATATGGCAGGTGCTGAAGGCAGCTCACAGTGTAAGACAAAAAATGTGGATACAACAGAATAAGGGATATCTAAAAGAAATATTTCCACGTGTGAAATTTTTAAAAGCCTGTATGAAGCACAAGAGTAGCAGCAAGAGTTCTACAGGGAGAACCAGCATTTCTCAGGAAAGAGTTCTGAACACTCAACCACACCTGAATTCGGTGCCATATAATATGGAAGAGATGTCTAGCTTTAAAAAGTTTTAGGACTTAAAAGAACTCTTGAGGAAATGTATCTAAAAAATCCTGTTGGACAAGGAAGGATGTTAAAAGGCAGCATTGAAATAGTGATGAATTCCTGCCAAGAATTATCGTAGTTCAAGTAGTAGTAATAACGCAAAGCTTTTCTTTGAAATAACTAGTTTACTAGGGTCACTATTTCTTCAGACCGCTCCTTGTCAAAGTCATGAAAACCAGAAAGGAAAAAAAATTATATATCATGTATGATTAATTAATAGCTAACATCATCTGGCACATAAAAGGTTCTCAGTTAGCTGTTTAGTGGGTAAATACATGAGCTGATTGCTGTTAAATAATGACCAAAGCCTGGCTGGGCATGGCTCAGCAGTTGAGTGTCGACCTAGGATCCAGGTGATCGGGGTTCGATTCCCGGTCAGGGCACATGCCCAGGTTGTGGGCTGCAGCTGATCAATGACTCTCAAATCATTGATGTTTCTATCTCCCTCTCTCCCTCTCCTTTCCTCTCTCTGAAATCAATAAAGATATATTAAAAAAATAATAATAATAATGACCAAAAATAACCCCCCAAAAACACTTACTTTGTCTGCAAGGAACTGATTGCGGCGCTCTTCAATAAGTTTTTCCACGGCCCTCCTGTGCTCTAGCTGCTTCATCCTTTGCTTCTGCGCATTCATTAACTCTATCCGGTCATCCTCAGCGAGCTTCCTTAACAGAGCTTGTCTAAAGGCCTCCTCTTCCTCTTTTGCAGCCTGTAGTACCAGTTCCTTCAAGGCCATTTGTTCTATAAAATTTTGCTTCAACTCCTTTTGTTTTCTCAATTTCTCTTCTGCTTCTTCCTAAAAAAATTTATATATAGAATTCAGTAACTGTTTCTTTAAAGCAGATTTATAAAGAAAAGGTAGAATAGTTTGGTTAAGCTTAGTGTTACAATATGAAATAAAACAGAAGCCTTTTCAAGGCAACATTTTGCCCTATTTTAAAGCTAGTTGGATAAAGGACATGTTACTTTTGAATTGCTTTCTAGTGTTTGTTTTTAAATTTTAATTTGTATATATTTACCATCTTGTTTCTGGATTCAGAAGAGAGCTGATATATAAACTTTTTTTGCTCACCTAAGTTTATTAAATCTGTACTAACTATGAATTATTCTAGAATCTTGTATGAAACCTCTGTTAAAATCATTGATAAATACTTTCAGAACAATAACCTAGCAATGACAATCAATTTTTTCAGGGAAATTCAAATTTACTTGGAACAGTTAAAGTCCTTTTCTATAAAATTTAATTTTCCCAGCATTTTATTATGAAAAATTTCAAACATAACCAAAAAAACAAAGAATTTTATAGTGATCACCCACATACCTAACACCTGGGTTCTACTAATTATATTTTACTGTTTTTGCTTTATCATCTTCTATTCAGTTAGGACTAATGTAAATTTTAAGTCCTTCTCTAACCAAACTTGCCTAAGTCTTACACAAGCTCCATGAAGTCCAGTATCCTCAAGGCATTCAAAACACTGCCGTAACAGTAGCCATATGGATAGGGTTCTTACTTAGAGAGAACACACACTGTAAGGGATTTATTCCAGGCCATCAGGTGCACGTAGGACTTCCAGGAGCTCCAGGGAACCAGGCTCACATGCCACTGCTCGAATCCCCGCTAATAACCCTCCCAGAGCTGCCCCCAGGGACCCGGTCTCCCTCTGGCGGCTGCTGTCTCATTTTGCTCCTTTGCACCTTCACCTCCGAAAGGGGAAGAGAGACTGCTGGAGAGAGCCTAGCTAAAAGAGGACAAATGCAGTTTTAACTTTATAGTCTTTATAAAAAGTAACACAAATGTTTTTAAAAAGGAATAGGAGTGGGTTTTAAGTGAGCGAATCTGCAATATCAGCTGTAGCAACTTTGATCATTACATTGTATATTCAACTTCTTTTTCTTCATTCTCCCTGTCTAATCCCCGTTTCAGATCCTACCTTCTCATTAAAGTCTTTTCTTACCACTCTAATTCATACTTCTCTCTCTTTTTGGACTCATATACCATTTAATTTTTCCATTTTACTTCTTATGTACCTACCTTATCTCCTCACTAAAAATAACAGGCCATCCTATTTTTGGGGGGTGTACTATTTTCTTTATCTGTTTATTCATTGAGAGACACTTGGAGGTTATTTCTGTATCTTGGCTATTGTAAGGCTACAACTGGACATCCAAAAGCAAAAACTGAACCTTGACCTAAGTCTCACACTTTATACAAAATATTACTGAAAATGGATCACAGACTTACAAGTACAAAAGTAAAAAACCTTTAGGGAAATAATTATTCAGGATTTAGGCAAAGAATTCCTAGAAGTAGTACCAAAAGTACAATTCATAAAAACAAGTTGATAAATTGAACTTCCTAGAAATCGAAAACTTGCTCAGAGAAAGACCTTGTTAAGAGAATGAAAGACAAGCTACAGAGGAGAAAATATTTGTCACAAGGACTAGTACCTAAAATATATAAAGAGCTCTGAAGCTTTCATAATAAATGAATAAACAACCCAGTCAGAAAACGTGAGGTCAAGTTTGTTGATACTGCTTTTCAGCACTACTTCCTGTGGTTTTCTGACTAGTCTATACTGAGAAGAGGTATTGAAATCTTCAGTGATATGGATTTGTCTGTTTCTCCTTTCAGTTTTGCCAGTTCTGCCTCATGTATTCTGAAGCTTTATTTAGGTTCGTACACATTTAGGACTTGTACGCCCTCTAGATGAATTAACCCTGCTATCTTGATTTCCACTCTGACTTGCTTTTGAGTAGTGTCTGCAAGGTTTATCTTTCTCCATCCATTTGCTTTTAAACTACACGTGTCTTCATATTTAAATTGTGTTTCTTACAGACAACATAGTTGCATCGTGCTGCTTAAGCAGTTTGTGAACTGCTGCCTGGGTCTAGCTTTTAAAGCGGACTGAAATTTCTCTTAGTTGCAGTGTTTATACCATTTACATATAAGGTAATTATCAATATTGTTGGGTTTAAATCTGTCTTTCTACTGCTTCATCTCAAAGTGATATTATTCTCTATGTTAATCACTCTTTCAATTTCCAATACTTACTTTTAGTTTCTTCTTATGTATTTCAGCTTGTTCTTCCTGATATAATTCTTGTCGCACTTGTTCCAAATCTTCACGTTGCCGCAGCATTTCTTCCAATTTCTCAGTCAGCTATTGAATTAAAAAAGAACACACTTAGACATTTATAGGCACCAATCCTATAACACACATTCCAGAATTTCTCCAATGTTAAAGAAGTGAGTGTTTTAATACCATATTCTGAAGCTGTAGCCTTTTTTCTTCATTGTCTTGAACTCTTGCCATCCGCGCCTTTTCTCTTTGTTGCTGCAAGTTGGCAAACTCGATGATTTTTCTGTTTTCTTCTTCCATTTCCTCACGTTTCTTTTTTCTCCATAGAGCCTGCTCTTTCTGAAACTCTTCTATGTACCTTCGAGTTGCATTCATTTTTTCTAACTTTTGTTGTGTTTCTCTAAAATGCAATAGTGAGTACAGTTTTATAATAACAAACAATAATAAAATATCGAAAAATATGTGTCATTTCCTTCAGTCAATAATGTGGGGGAAATGTATAGTTTGTTCATTCATTCATGCAACAAAACATTCTGAGTGTCCCTTATATGCCACTAAATATATGACAGGTATACGTTTTTTCTGAGTAAAACACTACTGTGCCCCTTCTCTAACCTATTAAGCTTTATGCACCCACATCTGCCTCACATCACCTGTCTACCAAGGAAATACATCCAAAAACAAGTCCTCTGACATACGATATGGGCATATTTAAGAAAACCAAAGGTTTAGTCATTGTCACTTAGTAAGCACTTATTAACGACCAGATAATTAATTACCATGCCGAGAGACAGATAAAATCGGCTCAGTTTGTGCAATGGTAACGTGGAGCCCTTCCTGTGCGGGAGGCACTGTTTGGGTGCTTTGCCTCTTCAACACAAGCCTGAGATTAATGTAAACGTGTAGGCACATGACAAAGCTGGGATTCGCTTACAGTTGATCTTCTTCATAGATTTTCCTAACGATTTCATCAATCATGAGTTTCTCCTTCAGCAGCTCCTCGTAAGCTTCCTGCTTCTTCCTCTCTTGCTCCTCAAGCTGTTTCTCCAAGTCAAGGTAGTACTGCGCTTTCACCTGACTGCGCCTCTCTTCCGCGGCATTCTCTTCCTTCATCGCTCTCTCCTGTTCTTCCATCATAGTTTTGGCTATTTCAGCATCACGTTTCTGTTAATAAAACAAAATTCACCTTTCCATTATCAAATCTGAGCAGAGTGTGATAGAACGTTTTAAACAGATGTCATTGAATATGATAAAGCCTGTTACATAAACTCTTTTCATCTGTGTAGGTAAAAAGTAAAGGTAAGTCACTGTCACCTGGTTTGAATGGTGAGTCAAACTGTAAAGAGGCTTTCCTGTTCCTCCAGGCAGCTCTCGGGGCAATACATAAGGATAACAACAACTGCACATGTGAAAAATATAAATAAAATGAGAAGTACTCTACTAGTGACTTGACTATGTTAACTGCCAAAGCAGTAGTCATCTTTTTCTTCTATTTAATGGTAGCAATTTTCACAAGTTTTAGCTCTGTTGTGTATGTGAATGAATAAAAGGGGTTCTATGGAAAGTAACCTCACAGGGTGATCTGACCAGATTCCTCACTGGGCAGGTCATGGTGGGCAGCCATGCCCCAGGCATATAACTTTTTAGTAAAAGGTTTATCTTCGCCTTAAGCAAGCCCTGTCCATTGTTTCTGTGCACCTAGGTTAACACACCTTCAACAGAGCACATAATCTCATTAACTGCCCAATAATCCAGTCCCTGCTTTGCTTTCTCCCACCTCCAATGTAATCTTCCTTATGTTNAACAGAGCACATAATCTCATTAACTGCCCAGTCCCTGCTTTGCTTTCTCCCACCTCCAATGTAATCTTCCTTATGTTCGTTCACTCAATTTCAAATGCACAAAAGTAGCTGCAAAACTTATTTTCTGGAGCATTTGATATCTTACACCCCAGCATATGTCATCAGCTTGGCTCAAATAAACTCTTATAAAAATTCTCTACAAGTTTGGACATCTCTTACGTTCACATGTATCAGACGCTATTTAGAGTAAGGATGGTACAGAGGCATACCTCGGAGATATTGCGGGTTCAGTTCAGACCACCACATAAAGCCAGTATCACCATAAAGCGATTCGTAATTTTTTTTGCTGGTGAAAGGTCTTGCCTTCAATATGTTAAAAAAACAGTATCAATGGAGCACAAGGAAGCGAAGTGCAATAAAACGAGGCATGTCTGCCTGTACTCTCTTGTTCATACAGGGTTGCTATTAATAGCTCTGAACAACTCAAGTTTCTCTCAGCCTAATCTTTCTTTCCTGCCACTGGCCTTTTAAGTCTCTCTTTTCTCATTTATTAAAGGCCCTTTGTAATCATTTTAACTTAAAAGGATCACATAGGTCACTGTGTCTGTTTTCTGCAGCTCTGACTTCACTCATTCAGTACCATTCCTTCTGAGTTAGTATTGCTTCTTGAATGGGTTAAACCCCTTATTTGTTTTGAGCAAATAAGTTCAAAATAATTTAACAAAATAAGTTTTAGATTAAATATATATTGGGGCAATTTTTTAAATTCCCCTTTCCTATTATGATCACATCCCAAATGGTTAACAGCATCAAACATAAAAGATCAAAATATAAATGGTAAATGCCATTCCTGATCTAACTGATGCTTTTAACATATACACTGTTAATATGACTTAATCAAAATTCTTTGTTTTCTTAGCACATGTTGTACTAGGTTCTTTAGAAAAAATATAAAATGACAGAAACATGTATTACAGATTACCATACACTTATATAAAGACAGTGTTCTCATTTCACAGATAAGAAAACCAAGGCTTAGAAAGACTGAACCAAAACTAGCACCTAGATATCCTGACACCTAGTCAAGTCCTAGGAGTATTTGACTTTAATTTTTGTGGATCAATTTTATTTAGAAAATAGCTATTGTTTCATATGTCATAGAAAATGTCTACAATTGCCTTGAATAACTTCAATTATCAAGGAAATTAAAACTGCAAACTACAGTCAAATAGCATATTGTTTCTATTCTACTTTATTTTTGAAAGGGTAGAACAGAACTATATGGCTTAGGAAATTAAGTCTCCTCACCGTCTCCTGTCCATCACTGTTAAACACCTGCTGACCGGCTATTTCGAGCCAGAACTCGCCCGTGTGGCCAGCTACTGTTCGTCATGACCTGTCAGCAAGGTGTAACAGTATGCTAAGTAACCCTTCAGATTTTTTCTACACTCACATGCACATGCGTGTATACACACACACAAACACATCATTGTGGTCAAGATCTTTCTTTTTAATCCTCACCTGAGTATATACTTATTGATTTGAGAGAGAGAATCACTGATCAGTGACCTCTTGCCTCCACCAGATGTGTGTCCTGACCAGGAATCAAACTCACAATCCTTTTGATGTACAGACGATGCTCCAACCAACTGGGGTAGTATCTATTCTTACTTGGTGCCTATATTTCACTGTACCAGTTAAATATTTTGATATCACCCCTCTAATTGTATGTGTGTATGAGTATATGAGGGTATTGCTGTACACAACACATATGAATATATGCGCATGTCGACATCCACATACACACAGGTACAGGTTTTTTAAATAAAAATGGTCTATGATATGAATTATTCTCCAACTTGATTTTTTCTTCAAGTTTTTTCCCTTTAAACCTAAAATATATTCGGTCCAACTTTAAAAACCAGAACATTTACCTCTACCTGTCTCTCTAAAAGCCGTACATCTTTTGCAAGAGCTCTAGGAGGGAGCTCTACCAAAATGCTCTACAACACAGGAGGGGAATATAAAGGCTGTGTGTGTAACACTGAATCTGACCTCCCATCTACGTCTAGCCTTTCTTTGTGACAATGAGAGCTCAGCGAAGATACGCACCTGCTTTTAAGTGTTAACTCAGTAAACCCTATTTTATATTGATGAGTGTGTCTGAAACTCCTTTGCCCAAGAGTAATTCTTGCCCTGAACTTTGCAGTATGTCAGGAGTTAGAAAAGGAGATAAAATAGAGGGAAACATGATAAGAGATTGCTGTTTATAAAAAAAAGTACCTAAAATTATAAAAGAGTTTATTTCTTAGAACACTTAAAAAATGAAAAATTAACGACATTAAAATATATTAATTATGCTAACAACTTGTACTGTATTGGTTTGTCAAAGAATAATTGGTTAGAGATTATAAAGAATGCTGGGGGGTTTCTGAATACAGCCGTTCATTCTAAGCAGCAACCTAATCCTTTGTGTCTCTGAAAGGCTCTAATATGAAATTAAACAAGGCTCAATATTAAATAATATGATTTCTTATACTTTAAGGATCTGAAAAGTAGCAAGTATGAGAAATCTAGCACTGTAAATTCTTTATAGTATGTAACAATTTTCAAAAAATTGTATTTTAATGAACCTAAAAACACAGAAAACATAGTGGACAGAAACACGATTACCATTTGTTCATATTTAATGGCATCCTTTTCAGCAATCTGAGCTGCCCTTTCTTTATTCATGTAAGCTGCTTTCAATTTCTTCTCCAATTCTCTGATCTCAATACTGTTTTAAAAAAACACAGAAATTTAAATTTGAGAACCATTACTATAAAACTAATCTATATCTGAAACATAAAACATTTTTTTCTAAATGTGTAAAACATTTACATTATTTAAATATTTTGAAAAAATATCCCTTTCTCCCTTCATATAAAGAAAAATCAGAATGCATGTAAAATGGCACACTGTAATTAACATTCTAGACAAAATAGCCATTTTATTTTGAACAATAATCACTAAAATCTTTTTGCCAGTGTCTGGCTCAGAAAAGGTGCTTTGTCAACATTGGTTAAAATTTCTGTTCAGCTACTAATATTATCAAACTAAAAGAAGAACTATATAGCAGAGAGGTTTAAACCTAAGCAAGTTGTTTAAATTTTGTTCCTTGCGCCCGGCCGGGCGTGGCTCAGCGGTTGAGCGTCGACCTAGGATCCAGGCGATCAGGGTTCGATTCCCGGTCAGGGCACATGCCCGGGTTGTGGGCTGCAGCCGATCAATGACTCTCTCATCATTGATGTTTCTGTCTCTCTCCCTCTCCTTTCCTCTCTCTGAAATCAATAAAGATATATTTAAATTTTGTTCCTTGCTTTTACTATATGTAAAAGGGGTAGTTGTGGGAATTAATTAATGTGTACAAAGAGCTTAGAAAAGTACCTGTTACACAGTAAACACTCTATAAATGGTAATTATTTTCTGATGATGATGATGAAGAGGGAGTGACTATAGGAAAGTTTGTTTCACCTCTCTGGACTTGTTTTCTTATCTGTTAAAGAATGGAAATTGGCCTCAGATAATCTCTGAATTATTTTGAATCCATCATTTTCCTAACCTTAGTGAAAACAATATGCCATACAAAACTTTTTGTTTTAATGTGCAAGTCGCTATTCTGAATATGACAGAATATGAGAATTCTGAGTTGGAAGGGTGCTTAGATGTCACCTAGATGTACATCTTAATTCTTACAGGAACACAGAGGGATTCACCTAATTATAAACTCAACTTACAAGTACCCCATACTTACAAAGAGATAATCAGAGGGGTTATTCACTTTCGCACTTTTATTCAACATAGTTTTGGAAGTCCCAACCACAGCAATCGGACAAGAAGTGAAATAAATTGAAAACGAGGAAGTAAAACTATTAGTTACAGATAACATGATACTATTGAGAATCCTAAAGATTCCACCAAAGAACTATTAGAATAAATGAATTCAGTAAAGCAGCAAGATACAAAGTTAATATTTAGAAATCAGTAGCATTTTTATACACCAATAATGAACTATAAGAGAAATAAGAAAACAATCCCATTTACAATTGTATCAAAAAGTAAAATACCTAGGAATAAATTTACCAAGGGGGTAAAATACCTGTACTTGGGAAACTATAATATACTGAAGAAAGAAATTAAAGACGACAAATAAATGGAAGGAATACTGTACTCATGGATAAGAAGAATTAACATCATTAAAATGTCCATNAGGTAAAATACCTGTACCTGGGAAACTATAATATACTGAAGAAAGAAATTAAAGAAGACAAATAAATGGAAGGGAATACTGTACTCATGGATAAGAAGAATTAACATCATTAAAATGTCCATATTACCCAAAGCAATCTACAGATTCAATGCAATCCCCATCAAAATACCAATGGCATTTTCCACAGAACTAGAACAAATAATTCTAAAATTTATATGGAACTGCAGAAGACACCAAATAGCTAAAGCACATTGAGAAAGATGAACAATGTTGGAGGTATCTTGCTACTTGAAATCAAACTATATGACAAGGCTATAGTAATCAAACAGCATGGTACTGGCATAAAAACAGACATATAGATCAATGGAACAGAATAGAGAGCCCTGAAATAAACCCATGCCTATGTGGTGAATTAATCTATGACTAGGAGGCAAAATATACAATGGCATAAATATACAGTCTCTTCAATAAATAGTGCTGAAAACTGGACAGATACATGCAAAAACACACACACACACACACACACACACACACACAAAAGAAACAAAACTGGATCACTTTCTTACAACATATCCAAGAATAAACTCAAAATGGATTAAAGATTTAAATGTAAGACCCCAAACCATAAAACTCCTAGAAGAAGACCCCAAACCATAAGGAACTCATACAACTTAATATCAAAAAATCACAAATAATCCGATTAAAAAATGGGCAGAGAACCTGAATTGACATATCTCCAAAGAGGACATACAGATGGCCAACAGACACATAAAAAGATGCTCAATATCACTAATTATCAGGGAAATGCAAATTAAAGCCACAATGAAATCACCTCACATGTGTCAGAATGGCTATCATCAATAAAGCAACAAACAACTGCTGGCCAGGCTGTAGAGAAAAGGGAACCCTCATACGCTGTTGGCCGGATTATAAATTGTTGCAGCCACTATGGTAAACAATACGGAGGTTCCTCAAAAAGTTAAAAATAGAACGACCATATGACTCAGCAATTCCACCTCTGGGTATTTATCTGAAGAAATCCAAAACACTAGTTTGAAAAGATATAGGCATCCCGTGTTCATTTCACAACAGCTAAGATATGGTAGCAACCGAGGTATCCGCCCATAGATGAACGGATAAAGAACACGTAGTGCATACATACAACAACACATCACTCAGCCACAAAAGGGAAACGAGGCAGAGAAAGAACGACTAATACCACATGATTTCACTTACATGTGGAATCCAGAAAACAAAATAAATGAACAAACAAAACAGAAACAGACTCAGATACAGAGAACAAACTGGTGCTCTCCAGATTGGGAGGGCGGGGGGTAGGGGAATGGGTGGAAAGGTTAAGAGATTAAGTAGTACAGATTACCAGTTATAAAAAAATCACAGGGAAATAAAATACAGCATAGGGAATATAGTCAATTATATTGTAATAACTATGTATGGTGTCAGGTGGGTAGCAGACTTATCAGGGTGATCACTTCATAAGTTATATAAATGTCTAATCGCCAGGCTGTACACCTGAAACTAATATAATGTATGTCAACTATAATTGAAAAATAAAATTTAAAAAATTTAATAGTTTTGTTTGAGTTTTTTTCTTAATCCCCTCACCTTTTTCACCCAACCCCCCCCTTTTTTTAAAAGATGACATTAAAACACACACACACACACACATATATATATATATATATTTTTTTTTTTTCTTGGCCTCTTTAACTCCATGTAATTACTTCCTATCTCAATTTTGTTATAGTTTACTATACTTTTAACTCTTTACATATATTAAATTCCAAAAGAAATAATGATTTACACATTCATATTTCATCTAGATTTACTACACGTTTACCTTCCTGAAGTTCTGAAACTAATGTTGGATTCATTTCCATTCTTCTACCTGAAAAACTGGTAGTATTCCCTTTAACCCAGAGTTATTGGTGATCAATTCTGTTTTTGTTTATCTAAAAATGTTATTTTTTTCCATATCACATACTTAATTTTAATAATCAACATCTTGATTATGAGTCTGAAATATAATTGTACTGGCATCAGCAAGGAACAGGTTATACATTTAATAAGGGAAGTCTATATTTCTTCTTTGAGCTTGTTTTTTTGCTGAAGTGAGACACCAATTATATATATAAGGTCTTGTTTTTGCTTTCATAAACACATTTGTTTTCTATGTAATAAATATATAGTTGCTAATTATGCAATAATTATAAATTTTATAATTAATTATAATTATACAATTAATGGATGAAATGTAATACTTATAATTATAAATAATAATTGTGCAATTAATTATAATTATTCATTAATTTGTACTATATTTAATATAGGATTTCTAAAAATAGGCAGTGAGTTTCCCAACTCCACTTAAAAACAGTGATAAAATTGTCTTTAAATATTTTCTTGGATTAAAAAAAATGATGTGTTCAAAATCAAATAACAAAAGTCTCGTGACTTCTGAACTTTATTATTTTCAAAATAACTTTTGATTATTTTTAAAAATTTATCCTGAATTTAAAAAATTAATTTATTTTAAATGTAAGCAGACTAATTGTAATATAGGTGACTGAGTTACTTTGGATTTTAAGTACCACAGCAAACATTTCCTTAGACTTGCCAATTTGCAGATGAACACATTCATCAGGAAAATGGTCATTTCTGTATGTCAGTCAAAATTTTACCATGGCTTATGCACAAAGTAAGACATTCTTAGCAGTGTTGCATTGCTGAGAGGCAGCATACTCTATTTGAAAGAGTGCTCAACTGAATTACTTTTGCCTTAAATTTGGAGAAAATTTTAGAATTTTAGATGGGCTATTATTTTCTTTCATCCCTTGAAAATCCACTGTCGACTAGTTTCTACTGTTGCTGCTGAAAATTCAGTCATACTTTTTATTGTCACTCCTTTGAAGTCTTTTTTGTGTGGTTACTTTTGTTATTTTTATGGTTTTTCTCTACTGTTGGACTTTAAACATTTGACTATGACTTATGTGTAATTTTCATTACTTATCGCATCTTAACCTGTGGCCTATGTCTTTTACCATTTTTGGAAATCCTCAGCCAGTACCTCTTCAAATACTGCTCTGCATCTTCTTTTTATGTCTCCCACCAGGACTAAAATGATACATCTGTTAGAACTTTCCACCATATCCCATATCTCTTTTAAGTTCTCTAGTATATTTTTTTATCCTATTCCCTCTATGTGCTTTATATTCTGAGTATTTCCACTAATCTGCTAACACTTTATCTCTTCATCTGTTTCAATCAAATGAAATCTAATTAAATTCTGTATTACTGAAGTAAAATATACACTAAAGTGCACAAATATGAAGCATACAGCTTGTAGAATGATGTCAGATACCTGGTCATCTGCTTTATTGGCTAAGCTCTGCTTTACTTAACTCTCACCCATATTTTTGGAATCAGCAGATTACAAACTCCTGGGTCACCATTCCGGTTTCCTTCCTCTCCCAGATCTTAGTTATGCTTTCTCCAGATAGTCTCTTCTCAGAGGGAGCATTTCATTTATTTGCATCACCTAGTCTGCAATTGCTAGAAGTGGAAAGCTCCTCTATTTAAATCTTATATCAGTGAATTAGACAAAGACATGTCAGATAATATAAAACCATGAGTGATAGCTTATTAATGATGGGAAATTAAGTTCCAAAAGGATAGTTTGAGACTAGAACAATATGAAGACATTAGCAGTAATTCTAAACCTTTTTTAAGAATTAATAATCCCTCAGAGAATTTTAAAATTGTGGACCTACAAAAATACACATGGATGTATCTGCCAAACATATAATTTAATGAGGCTCAAAACCCCTGAAACTCATCCATGGGTCCTATCATATTCTACAGAAACCCTGATCAGTTAGGATAAAATGCCCAAAACTGTTGAAGTAAATTTCCAATATATTCAACTATATAAGTACAGGATGGGCATTTAGTTAGTCCCAAGTTTTAATCAAAAGGGTGACATGGCTGCTCCTAAAAAGCAACTCAATCTTAGGCAAGAAACATTCTAGAACAATGTGGTTAACAGTTCCACTATTAGGAGTTCTAAGCAGTACCCTGGAGTAAGTGCAATGATATAAAGAAAGAAATTGTGGGGGCATTATTTTGTTAAGAAACACCAATAATCTAAATTAGATCTACAGAAGAGAACCTGGACAGAGCAAATAAAGGAATGAGGGATATTTAACCTACAGAAGAGAGCAACTAGTGGATTCATAAATATGAAAGGATTTCCTAAAGAACTGATTTTTTTCCCATTTTTTTCCCATCAGCAAAACTAAGATAAGCGCATGAAAGTTACAGGGAAATTATTATTATTATTATTAATCCTCACCTGAGGATATTTTTTCCATTGCTTTTCAGAGAGAGTGGAAGGGAGAGAGAGAGAAACATCGATGTGAGAGAGACAGATCGATTGTTTGCTTGCCCCAGGACCCCGACCAGGGCCAGGGCTCGAGCCTGCAACCAAGGTATGTNGATCGATTGTTTGCTTCCCCCAGGACCCCGACCAGGGCCAGGGCTCGAGCCTGCAACCAAGGTATGTGCCCTTGACAGGCACTGAACGAGAGGCCCTTCAGTCCACAGGCCACGCTCTAACCACTGAGCCAAACCGGCTAGGGCAGGAAATTAATTTTGAGACAGCAGGGGGAAAAAGATTATTCAAAGTTAGGGCTGAATGAAAAAGAAAGTTCCTATCACAGTCACTAGAGGTGTTGACCACAGCTGACCAGCCACTTCCCAGAAACACTGTGCGAAGTTTATGTAGGAGTATGAACTAAATGAGGCATCACCTGAGGTGCCTCTTAAGAGCAGAATTCCACGAGTCTATTTTTATAAGAGGTCACTTTAAAAATTATATTGAGGAAAGAGCAGAGGAAATGGATTTTTTCCCCATCTTACATAATAACACTTTACTTCTAGGAATACAACTTCTTTTCTCAAATCTATATAGGATATAAAGCAGTAAGTACTTCCAGGCAAAATATTAACTAAGTGCAATGACATAAAGAAAGAAATTTCGCTCTCTGGTACTAAACATTACACAAAAGTTTAAAAATAAAGGCTACACAAATGAAATTTATAGAAACCAAGAGACCTGTTTTCTTTTACTTGTTGCCTCATCTTTTCATCCTTTAGGCTTTCGTGGTTTAGTTTGGCCAGTTCCGCAGCCAGCTTTTCTTCCTGTTGAAGCTGGCGTTCCTTTAGTCTTTTGTTTTCTTCTGCCTGAATAAAAAATACATAACTTTAGTTAGTTATCTTCCAGAATCAGATTTTTTTAATCAAGGTTGAATTTATTTGTTTATAGCAGAAAACTGCAAGTGCCTTCAGAGCAACAATCAATTATTTTTTAAAGTAAAAACTATTATTTAAATAAGCAATTTTCCAAATACTATTGGTGATGTTTGAAATTTTCCATGGTAAAGTAAGAAAAATATTGAAATACATCCCCAGGTAGACAGGATTCATCTCCAACGACTATCAATATTTTGCTAACCTTGTATCTCTCCTCTATGCTACTCTTCCACTCCACTCTTATGTTTTCCTTTGTTGTTCTTTTTCTAGAGTATTTTAAAGCAAATCCTAGATATGTCATTACCATGTATATAGTTGAATATTGATCTCTACCTAATAAGAATTTCTTCCTATATAACAACTATGCCATTAACATGAGTAAATAAATTAACAAGAATTCCTTAGTAAGGTCTAATACTTGTCCATATTCAGGTTTCCCCAATTGTTTCAAAGATGCTTTTATTTTTATTTTTGGTCTGTTCAAATCAAAATTCAAACAAGGTCCATATATTGCATCTTGTTATTTCTCTTAAGTCTCTTATTCTGCAACAGTAACCCCCACATATACACTTTTTCTTTCCAAGCCTTTATAAAGACCCCATAGTCTGTAAAGATAACTTAAAAGAAAAGAAAAAGTAAAAAACTTTTCGACAAAATTTAAAAAAACAACAACATAGGCAGATACCAGTGGAAGTGACCAGGGAACCAATTCTTTACCCTGAAAATTAACTATCTCCCTTTCCAGTAAGAACTGTATTTTAGAGTACCAAATAAACCTAGCTGGTGAAGGAAGTTTTTTAGAGGAATTTCAGCTAAATGTGAAAGGAACAGCAGAATCAGAAATCACTGTTTTGCAACCCTGAATGAAGGAAAAGAGTCACTGGTGAAAACACAGATGAAAGTTTAACGGGGGTCTTTACAGTGGAGGGACCAGGCTGTCTCACTAAACCCACTGACCAACATTAGCATCACTAGAAGTGAAACGACCAGTCATCATGTGCCTGCTGATGTTATACAGTTCAAGGACAGCATTGTCTATGGAGTAGTTGCCATAAAGTTGTACAAATCTAATCATGCCTTTAAGGCTAACTTCCATTTGGAGGAAATATAAAAGACAGGAGAACAAATTAAAGAAACCAGTGAGGAAGTAAACAGATAAATTCAGAATGGGTGATATCCTATACAACAACTGGCCTAGTTAACAAGCTAGAGACAGGAAGTTAAAAAAATTAAGGATGAGCCCTAGCCGGGTCACTCAGTGGTTAGAGCGCCGACCCAGGGACTGAAAGGTCCCAGATTCGATTCCAACCAGGGACACGTGCCTCGGTTGCGGGCTCCATCCCTGGCTGGTTGGGGTGTGTGCGGGAGGCAACAAATTGATATGTCTCTCTCACATCGATGTTTCTTTTTCTCTCTCTCTTTCTCCCTCTCCCGCCCTTTCTCCCTCCCTTTCTCTCCCTCTGAAAAGCAATGAAAAAAGTGTCCTAGGGTGAGGACTGAAAAAAAAAATTGATGATGGAAGCGCTGTCTTAGACTAAGGGACCTAACAGACATAACCATCAAATACACGGCATGAACCTTGTTTAGACTCTGATTAAAACAAACTCAGAAAGCAGATTCCTGACACAATCACAGAAATTTGCTTCTGAAATGACACCTAGAAGTTATTGATAATTCTATTGGGTGAGATAGCGGCATTATGTAAGAAAATACCTATTTTATAAGATGCAGATTGAAGCGTGCTGGAGATCGGTGCTGGGATATCTGTGATTATCTTTAAAGAAGAATCAGAATAAAAAGAATAAAGAAATCTAAACTCGGGGATCTTGCTCAGGGTTAAAAAAATCATGTCTTAAGTTTCTGGAATTTGGAAACTCAGAGAGATGGAAACTACTTTCAATTAAAAAAACAAACCATAAAACAAACCGAAACCTCTTGCTTTTGCCACTTCTCACAACATCCTACAAAATCCTGAACATAAAACAGGTGCTCAGAATATACTGAAACATCAGAATACTTTTTTCACGTTCATGAGAACTCAATTCTTTTCTTACCGGTTTCCCTTTTTCTACCACCCTCATCCCTTTAAATATTTAGAAATTTCCACTGAAACATTATCTTCATATTTAAGGAATTATATACATATAAATTGTACCTGAATTCTTCACGGTAGTATTTAAAAAATAAAAAACATGAGTAAATTCATACTTAATACAGTGTTCATTTTCTAACTCTTATATAATACACATGGTTAACCTCAGTAAGTTCAAACGGTATTAAATTTTTGTCTTTAGAATTTTATGGAAGGCAACAGAATTGTACTTATGTGAACAAAACTGTGGATATTAGTAATTCTGGATTTCATATTTATGGAAAAAACCTGAGTGCGAACTCTGTTCTGGGAACTATCCCAAGGGCTTTGCATGTATTAACTCATTAATTATTGAAACAGTCATACAAAGTAGGTATGAGGCATATGAAGTAAAAGCAATCCACCCAAGGTTCCACAACTAATATAGAACAGTACTAGGATTCATAACAGAACATAACCTAGTTCTAAAAACCCAGCTCTTAACCAATACACTGGGCTGACTTACCGTGGGGCATCCTTTGTCTGACGCTGTCATCTATCTACTCAATTCCAGTATGAGGAGTAATTTCATCATTTCCAAGGAGAAAATGAAGGAAAAAAAATGATGTAAGAATGAATAGTAAGACTTACCTTTTGAATGGCCTCTTCCATATCCAATTCAAACTGTTCATTCTGTAATAATCTGAGTAATCTTTTGCGCTCAGCACGGTCATCGTTTTCATTCTGCACGATTTGGTTCCTGATTTGATTCTCTATCTTTTTTAGTGCCTCCACCTGCAACCTTTTGTTGTAGTTTCTCTCTACTAATTGCTGATGCCTTTCACTGGCGTTCAATGTTCTCCTTTTGGAAGCCTGTAATGCGAAAATAAAAAAAATACAAGTACACATATTTTGGTGTTCCAAAATCTAATTTTTAAAAATATATTTATGTAAGACCCAGGAACAAATGATACAAAAATAGGTGATGGTAATAAAAGAAGGCCCATTGGCTTCCTTCCTAAATTCAGAGAGCTATACCAGAATAAAAGTGTAAATGTGCTGGGTAAACATATCAATATATCAATGGATTAGGTATTATCATTATTCCCCACCTTATAGGTGACGTATCAAAAAAGTAAAAGCAACTGTACAAGGTTCTTCCGCTAACAGTTGTACTAGGATTCACAGACACGCAGTCGAGCTCTGTACCCGCAGTTCTTCATCACTACGCAGGGGAGTCCTTCTCTCCCCATCCTGCCGCCCCTCCCCCCTCCT